AGGCAGTTGGCGTGATCTTCGTAGGCGTCTAGTCGTCTGATCTCTTCCAAATCCGGTCTCTGGAAATTCCCGTTGGCGTCCCGATAGAGTATGACCTCGAAAGTAGCAAGCAAAACAAACTAAATTCGCTCCTAGACGAACAGATTCTAGAGGTGTTTTGAAATGTACTCCTAAATATGGCTGAGACCCTCAGTGTTCGCGACGATATCCTGCGATGCGAATGCCAATATTTTGCCAATAAAACAACGTTTCATCGAACCAAGATGCATGCGTTTCCTGTTATTTCATTGGCACTTCTTGCCGTGTGCACACATAACTGAACTTACGACATGTCCGACAAGAGACTAAGTAGAATGTGCAATGAGAGCCGCTGTGTGTAGCCGCTACACCAGTTGTTAGTTAGTTCCACTGAAAACGGCTTTTTCACGTTCATACTTTCGTGAACAAATCATTAGCTATACCATTCGTGCACTGTTGAGAGAAACGATGATAGGTGGCTGTAGGGAGGCGTATGACGGGCAGTATATGTCTCCATTACCCCTGCCATTAGCCAATGGGGTTTCTGCGCCTAGTCAATGGACAATATGCCATCCCATTGGCGAGATTTCATTGGCCTACGCACTCCTGTGTTTAATGCCAGCCAGTTTGTTATCTGCAGTCTTCTATGCGAGTGCGAGTTAGGCGGCAAGTTCTTGCTACCGCCTTCATCGCACCAATTTTCTTCTTGGTCTACGCCTTCTCCAGACAGGAACGTGCTCTGCCGTTGTACCCTGAAGGGCCATCTGAAGACTGTCGAATCCCCTCATTGGTGTTGAATCTGTCGGATTCAGATAGCCTCGTTCCGGTGACGCAGCATGTTGACTGTAACGCCAATGGCCTACGATTCACCATTGAAAAGCCACGAGAGCAAATTGACGCTGACGGTATTTTGCCGAAGAATGCGTGGCTCGACCACGGAGCACTAAACATCGTTCCGGAATCCGGGAGATTCCAGTGCGACGCTTTTCCTATCTACCGGCTTGATGAGTATCGGTCGGTGTATGGTAATCCACTTGTAGACGTATCGTCAGGCTACCGTCCGCTGCATCCTCAGTTCATGTTGCTATGCCAACCACGCTCGAATGTGCTCTCAAGTCGAAATTACACGTGGGATGCAGACCTACTGCTCACTCAGAGACGCTTCTACTTTTGTGGAAGTCGTCAAGTGATGGATGGGGTGAACTACAACACCACAGCACCAAACGTTCTCCTGCTTGGGGTAGATTCATTGTCTCGCCTGGCCTGGCAGCGCTATCTACCGAAAACTCTTGACAAGTTTAATTCCCTTATTGAAACACGTGGGGCAGTGTTCCCTAAGTATCACGTGGTTGGGGACGGAACAACGAGCAATCTACTGGCTCTGTTAACTGGCCACTTTGAACAAGAGCTCCCTGAAAGCCGACGCTTCAAGCTACGCATAGTGGAAGGTCAAGGAGGCCTCGTGCATGGTCTGGTTTCAGAGGAAGGTGACTACAAGGGCGCCGAGACAACACCGCTGGACAAGTTTCCGTGGATCTGGAGTGAGTTCAAGGAGCGTGGAGGCTACGTGACGCATTTCATTGAAGACAGTCCAAACTGGGGCACATTTCAGTATCGACTTCAGGGATTTGGCAACCGAATGCCTCCAGTAGACAGTTATGCGCGTCCGTGTCTTGTTGCCGCTGCTCAGGATGAGGCGCGTTACGGAAAGCTGCTGGGTTGCACGGCGTCAACGTAGGTTTTACCTTCACGATCCCTTTGCACAGCGATTAAATTAAATTCAGTGTTTCTACGACTTGGTGTATAATTGTGTGCTTTCAGATTTAAATGGAGTTATTGTTTTTGGATGGGAACCGAGGAAACTTAACCCGTAAGATACCAACGCACTGATTTTGTCATCAGTATTGATTTCAAATCCGTCCTGAAAAAATTGATAATGGTCTTAATAGCGTTGCCATTTAAATGTGCATTTCATTGGTTACTGAATATTGACAAATGTGGCTCCAAATGCTTGCTTGTTTGAATCCAATCTTCCATGCAGGCCAACGCACAAACTCCTGCTAGAGTCACTGCGGGAATTCTTCTATGCCAACGCGAATCGACCTCGTTTCTCGCTCACATTCCTCTCCGAGATGATCCACGAAGAGCCGTCCATGGCGCGAGCCGTGGATGAAGACTTAGCTGACCTCCTGCAGCAGATCGATGAAGATGATGCGCACGGGAGGGGGGAGTTCGCGAACACCATTGTGGTCCTCTTTTCTGATCACGGAGCAAGAATGGGCAAAGCCAGACTGTCTCTGCAGGTGCATAATTCACTTAATCAAGATGGCTACGTGTGACTACAAAAACGAACAAACTGCAGTCTCTTTTCTGTCGATAATTGGATTATCTTGCGTTGTTGGTAGACAACTTGGATGAGCATTGGTAATCCATAAAGCTAGTCATCTCTGCTTGAAGATAACTTCATTAGTGCGTCTACGTTCAAGTTCATGAACATTTTTTATCCTGGCATGTGGAAATTAAGGAACGTTTTAGGTTTGACGACAAGAAATGTGGTTGGAATGACACGGTCTCAGAGGTACCTTATTCACCTGAACCACGAATGTAGCTAACGGAAACCACAAAATCGCTTTTTCAATTTGATATCACTTGCAACTTCTGTGATGCTGTGAGACGTTATTTCGCGAGGTCTGTTTACTTGGTCAGGGGAAACTGGAGGAGAGACTTCCGATGCTCGGAATACTCTTTCCTCGAAGACTCGCTCACCAATGGAGTGACGAGCTTAATGTGTTGCGCGACAACTCCGATCGACTCTGCTCGCCCTTCGACGTGCACGCCACCCTTCAACACCTCATCTCAGGGGTCGTCAAGCCTCCGGAAGGCAGGGGTCAGAGTCTGTTTACGCCGTTGCCAAGGGAACGCACGTGCAGAGAGGCGGGAATTGCGACGTATTGGTGCACCTGTGCCAGGTGGGTGGCTCTGGCACCAAACCTGGCGGGAGTTTGGCCGAGTGAAGTGAATCGTGCAGTTACGACCACTCTTGACGCCGTAAATTCAGCAATCCGCGTCTTGGTGGCTGACAACGGCAAAATGGACAACGGTGGCAAGGTCACGAAGATAGTGGGCGTCTGTGAGAAACTGGAATTGGCAGAGGTGGGTGTTCGAATTTGGCATTTTCGTAATTTTAGACTCTTTCAACTTTCGTTTCTCTAGCGGACGCACCCTTCAAGACCTCATTGTCAAATACCTAAGTAGCTAGTTGTAGGAGTCATCAATCTACAAATTACGGGTGGCCTGTTTACTACGAAATGTGCAAGCATTTACGTGTTTTTCTTCATTCTTTTCAAATAATCGACGTAATACCAATCTCTCATTTTCGGCCCTGTTTAATTAACCGCCATTTGCAACGTTCTTCATTGAATTTTAGCTGACATCAAAACTGTTATAGAATGATCACCTCAATTAACTCTTAGCCATCGTTTGTCTGACGGGAGAGTGTTCTGCAAATGACCCCGTTACCACCCACCCAAGTAACCAGTTATAGGCGTCGTAGGTCGAAAACTACGAGTCGCCTGTTTACTACGAACGTAGAAGCATTCCAGCGTCCAGCTGTCAGTTAACCGTGAGTGTTTATACAGGCCTGCTTACTTTTACTACAATTTTTCAACTGATCCACGTTAAACAAGGTTTAAAGGAGTCTTTACCCCGTTAAATCCTTTTCAAATTTACTAGGACAACTAAATTATAGTTTTTTTTCTGATCAATGCTTGATCCGATTAAAGGTGACGTCTGCTCGATCGTTGATTGGGCCTCCAGACGTGACTGATCACGCGTCTCCATAGGTCATGCGCGTGAACAGATGATGTCCCTTGTGGAGGCGTGTTTACACAGGTTGCTGGTGGAAATCTGGGACGTTTAGTTAAACGGGTTCACAGCGACATGGTGTCTTGAGGGGAATCAGTTGGTGACTAAAGTGGTCAGCAGTCTTTTCCCATCTCTCCGATTACGTGGCTGCGTTCTGGACGTCAAGGGAACACAAAGATTTGTCCACCGAAATTTCGCCGACGTTACATCCGGCTTTAGTTTTAAACAAGAATTCGGACTGAGCGTTTCCCAATTTAATCACAAGCACATAAATGACTGTGATTAGATTAGAAAGGTTATACCTTTCCACGCTAGATGACATGGAATTTACAAAAAGATTCTGATGGATTTTGTGGGTATTTATAAAAGTGGGTTTATTTAAAGGTGTGAAGTGGGTTTACCTTGGTTCTCTTTGTTTTTACTTAGAGCAAATAGCTTCAAAAGCTGGCGAAAGTACAGCCAGTGTAACGTTTCAAGATCCCGCAGTGATCGAATGCCTTGGTCACGTCTGTAAAAGCATTGTGAGGATAGTATTGTTCTTCATCATCTAGATGTCCTTTGAGCTTCAAACTCTCTTGTTATGAATCAATTCCTGTCATTGGTTGAACTCATTGGCTGTATTTGTGAGGGTATAACTGTCTTCGATAACTTGATTTATCAGTGTCTCGGATTAACATGATGTGAGTTGATAAGCCAAGGGACACGTCAACTGCTTGCAAGTTCATTTAAACGCCTCGCTGACCTCAGTGGCATCGACACCTGCTCTGTAGACCAATTCTGTTTGGTCCGAAAGAATTCATTTTCAGCTTGAAAACTCATCATGCTGATTACATATTTCAGAATTATTTACTCTTCTAGGGATCGATGGCAGAACTTCCAGATTTTGTCCCATAAGCCGTGTCAGAGCATATTATTTAATTACTGCCAATTACTGCTTCTTTTTGAAGGTGATTTCTGCCGAAGTTTCAATGATTTCACACGACGTCGTGAACTTCAAAGGCACAGCTGACCGTGATGGCCGAATTCCCCTTTTCGACCGGGAAGGCGGCGACCAGAAGGCGACGCTGGCACTGCGTCTGCATCTACGTGTCAAACAGAAGGACGCTCACTTCGAGGTGCTGCTCTATCGCGACGCCAACGGGAATTTCCAGAGACCGGATTTGGAAGAGATCAGACGACTAGACGCCTACGAAGATCACGCCAACTGCCTTGATCCACAGCGATGGAGCCATGCCAGACGACTGTGCATTTGTCGATAGATTGTACATACTGCTTGTTTGGTGCCTTCTGAAGTGCAGATTACTTGGAGAGGTACAAACACACCAGATTAACAACAAATTTTGTGAGTCTGATGAGTCGAGGTTAGACACATTCAGCCATCTCAATTCAGACAGCCTCATCAGCAGTTCCATGCTCTGTAAATCGACAGCCGTCAAGACCACTACAAACGCCGAACACGACACCAGATAGTTTGAAATGTTGAATAAAGTCACTCAGGCAACCAGTATTATTGCTTTACAATGCTTTGCCAATTGATACAAGTTGTCACCTTAGTTGAATCAATCGACGCAGATTGTCATCGAGAGAAAGTACTTAGGCAAACGGCTTTTGACATTAAGAGGAGAAGCTATACTTTCAAGTTTGGATTTAACTGCCAGTTCAGAAAGCTCGTGGTTTCATTAGGTTTAGTGCCTGAAATTTCGGTTTCTGGTTTATGTAGTTAATCCATCTTCTTGCATCTGGCAGTTGTTCTTCTATCGACAACACTTCAGCTTACTGTCGACCTTAAAAAATTGGCAGTTTTTGCAGTTACCGTCTTTCTTGCTGACTAGTAGATGTCAATGCATGCTGGGATCTGTTTCTTATAACCAGCTGCACAGACACCTAGATAACGGTTGTTTAGTAAACAGTAATATGGGTGACCAATGAGTGATTGCTGGTTGCTCCAATTGCTGGACATCGTCACGCCATTGGCTATGCTTCGTGTTCCTCAGTGACATCCGCGGAACTAAATTACAACCAGGATGGTGCAAAGCCGACACGATATCGCAGATACACCTTCCCATTCACCATCTAGGCATGAACGTGAATCACAGGTAGTATTGAGACAGACTGAATGTACGATACTTAACCAATGAAATGAGAGAACGAGTAGACCAAGGCCAATGGCAACGACGTTCTTGAGCAGTTTAAACACTGATGGCTGGACTGATAAAGATGCAAGAACCACCTTCTGCAAACTGCTAAATGAACTAGGTTGAGTTGGGGGAGTTTTTTCTGGGAGAAAAGGTAACAAGACAAGATATTAGATAGCGTGTGACTGCACATACAAGCACCAAAAAAGGTAATCGAGGTACAATGACTCCCATAAAATGATGTGATTGAATTACTGTTTGGCTTGTTTCGCCGCATTTGTGGGTGACACTTCACCTGGTTATGAAGAAATGAATAAATGATTACAACAAAGTCAGACATTGTGTTTATGATTTATCTAAGATTATACTATTACAGAGCCCGCAAATTATAAAGAACAGTTATTAAATGATTTTGAAATCTCCACCCATATATAAAATCAATACTTATACGTTGCTAGAATGGTCTGATCGTTCGTTGACTGGCTACTTTCGTAGAACACTTAACCACATTTAGTCAAAGGGCATACATTGCAGGGTGCAAGATTTGATTCCTCATAAATATGTCATGATCTGCCGTCGCTTTACACCTGATGCATTTGTTTGGCCCCGCGATTGACGAATACTCCCCGTTGCAAACTCCGAGCGTAAATAAGTGTGATCGGCTCTACAACTAGTTACATAAATTAAGCAATGCAGGTAAAATGGGGCAATAATTACTGTTAGTAAAATAGAAGATTCCTGGCTAATGTGGGGTGTTTCACTTAGTGCTGTACGAAATAGCAAAAGAAAACACTTAAGACTGTCCATGGACTCTGACTTTTTGATTTTAAACAAGATCTGCCCAAAGTGATATGTCCACAGCACGATAACTGCAATTTTTTTAAATTAATGCTAGAAAAGCTTGTCTCAAAATTTAATGTTGACTGCTGTTTTAAAGAGGTACGAAATTTCCCCATTCCTTTGTAAGATCTTTTATATGCAAAATATCCGATTATTTCACAAAACAAGTTAACATTCAGTAGGAGAAGCTGGGGATTTACTATGGAATTCTTAAATGCTTGTTTGCATTGGACTCAATGGTATTACGAAACTACCATAGGGCTTATCTGTGGGGATTTGTCTTTACTTGGCAATGAAACTCAGGAAATGTCTAATTATGGACAGGCTGTAAGTTTGAAATTAATGACAAGATACAAATATAAAAATTTTTCTAAAAAGATTTCTATTTTAGCCACTATGAAACAATTATTCGGATTCTACACGCAGTTTTCTTGGATATCGTCCAACCAATTATAATCATAAATGAATTAAATATCGACTCATCGGAAAAATGCCACGTTTTGCTTGAAACTATTTTTTAAAGCAAATTAATGTAAGGTGGTCGTAAAATAATATCTGAGCCAAAGTTACTTAAATTTATTTTAGAACGTGACCAAATGTGTTTAGCTATACTATTTTCATCAGCTGTGATTATTGCAGCTGTTGGCGCCTCTGAGATTTTCCTATTCTGACGATCCAAGATGTCTCTCGATAAGCTGGATATGGAAAAAAGGAAGCAGATTAGTGTGCGTGGCATTGCACAAGTTGAGAACGTAGCTAATTTAAAGACGTCTTTCAATCGTCATCTCCACTTCGACATCGTTAAGGACAGAAATGTCGCAACTCCGCGGGATTTTTACCTGGCGCTTGCGAGAACCGTTTGGGATCATCTATGTTCCCGTTGGATTAGGACACAGCAATCATATTACAAAGAAGATCCAAAGGTTTGATTGCGTATGATTTGCATTAAATTAGTAATATGATGTGCATGTTGATTTACTATCACATTTCCTTTTTTGTGTGCACCATCTTTAATAAAAGGATTTTGTTCTCTTGATATCTGGGCAAAAAACTGTTTATAAATTAAGTGAACTACAGAGAACTTTTTACTACATTGGTCTAAGAGATATTTCAAAGCGCAATTGAAATCGCAAGACTTAATATCTAATAAGCTGTTCCGAAGCTTGCGAGTCATTCATGTCTCAGTCGTGATTCTCCCTCAAATTACATACAGCACTTATTTTGAATGCATAATGCAGCTAGATATAGAATCGTGTACACCCTGTAAAAACCTGCCATCAGTTCTTTGCAGTTTAATAGTCTGGAAGGAATAAAGTGTGTTTTTTTGATTACCTCACACTTCTATAGCTTCGTCGGTGTCGCGAGTCGATATTTCTCTTTTGTACCTGCCACTACGGCTATCATTGGGGTTGGTTATCAGTGTTTTACGGTTTGTTAAAGTTAATGCTATTGCTGTGTTTTGTTAAGTTCCAGTGTTTTAATGCCATATTTGGGCTTGTTTCAAAAGTAAGTCGAATGTTTTTTACACAATCATGAACAGTCCTTCATCGACTATATTCGCAAGTCAAAGCTGACCAAAAATGACTTTGTAAAGACTAATCTATTGTTAAAGCCCTCTGAACCTAAAAACCATTTCCCAACACAAATTAGAGTCTCTTAGTCCTTTAGTAAATCTCCATGGGATTGTAATATCCAAACGTTTAAATTTCTAGGTGAAATTGTGTGGTAGATCGGCAAAGTAAAAAAATAATTCAAAATGTCAGATATACAGATGACTGGTTTCTATGTTATTTTTCATTCCAGCTAATACATTAAATCGACTTATTTTTGGGGGTTGTTTCTGGGATTTCAAGAAACAGGACCGTTATTGCTTGTAATTATGGAGTAGACTGTAGATTATGTGGTGTTTCTCACTGCGATAAGAGCGCGCCTGTTAGGCTAGTTGGTTGGTCAGTCTTAGCGCAAAATCTTAATTGCAGTTTCACCGCTACTGATTTTTTATTTAGCCATTTTGAAAGACGTAATTATGCACACGTGGTAGCGATCTTAACCTATTAATTGTTACGTCGTTAATGTGATTATGTTCTAATCTCGAGGGATTTCATTTCTCAAACTGTGTCCTTTTTCGCCTCTGAATATTATTTCGTATAATAACTTGTCTCTAAATGTTTGGATAATCGAACGACTTAAATTTTTCGCTTCGTGGTGATTAGTGTCATTTTGTAATTTGTTAATACCGAATTCGCAGTTCCGTCACGCGTTTCTGTTGCGCGCCTCCGCAAACTAACTCGTACCCGCCTTTTACTAAATTTACTGCAACTAACTTAAAACTATACTTCATCATGCAAAGCGTTTTACCGTTTGTTTAATCATTTTCTCCTGGATGTAATTATCCACACACTATCTTCACGCTCTGAGATAGCTGGTGCTAGATCGATTTTGATACAGAAGCGACATCACAGCGTAATTCTTTTCATGGCTGTAGGCTTTCAAGTCCGAAACGTTTGCCACTTGACTCAACCAGAGAAATGTGATATCCGCGAAGAACAATCGGTCGTTCAAAAGGCAGACTTGTCTCTGGTTCCATTCCACGCTAGTAACAATACGTTCTCTTTATTTTTCACTAGACCGATGCCCTTTTATTCAGATCATCTCACACGCACGACACCGCTTCGCATTAATACAGCGCTTAACCTCTCTGGGTGACTGTGTGTGCTTATCCATGTCTTTTGCTGTTAAAACTTCTAGTGGTAGCCTAATGGTGCATAAAAAACGGCATGTGTTTGTTTAAGAAACTATGACTGTGTTTTAATGCAAATGGTTATTAAATCCCGATTTTGACTGGTGAACTCGAGATTGTTGTCTCAGCACCTGATGGCTACGTAGTCTGTAAGCAATAGTCTCTTTCAGATGTCTCCTGCAATGCGAATAAATTTGCGCTGCTGGGGGCACGTTTTGCGAGTTAAGATAAGCCAAAAATTGATCTGTTTCTGCGGTTCCAGTTCGTTGGTTTTCAAAACTATACTTCTTAGGCACAAATCAAGCGCTAATTTGCCCTGTTTTAAATACTTCAGCGCGTGTACTACCTCTCGCTGGAATTCTACATGGGCCGCACCTTAACGAACACCATGATGAACGTGAACATCACGGCTGCAATCGACGAAGCCCTCTACCAGGTGACCTATTTTAACGTTGGAAAAAGACACGTCAGTTTCTGCCCTTGTCGGCTACCATGGTTGCATTGCATTTCCTTTGTGCCTTAGATGGGTCTGGATATCGAGGAGTTGGAGGAGATCGAGTCTGACGCGGGGTTGGGCAACGGCGGTCTTGGACGCCTCGCTGCATGCTTCCTCGACTCCATGGCAACGCTGGGACTGGCCGCGTACGGCTACGGTATTCGCTACGACTACGGCATTTTTGAGCAAAAAATCGAAAACGGATGGCAGGTAACTGCAGGGAAATTTCTCAGTTGTGGAACTGCCATTGTCGAGGAAAGGAGTAGCCTTCGAAGATGGCCTTTGGGCCCAAACGATCCATACAACGTAGCTTGTAGTTGCTAACTTAATCCACTGATAACATAACTCGCGTGTAACCGTGTAAACCAGACCAGTAACTGCCTAAATCAACTAAATGGAAAGTGGATGTACTTTTCGAGGATTGTTTACGATGCCTCCACTGCTAGAACTGTATGTAGCACCGTGGTGAGGCGTCCCGCTCATAGTCTGCACTCTAATCACGTGATTGGGGTGTGTTTTGTAAACGCTAAACAGGTTGAGGAACCGGACGAGTGGCTGCGTTACGGCAACCCGTGGGAAAAGGGCCGTCCCGAGTACTCCTACCCGGTCAACTTCTACGGCCAGGTGGAGGACGCCGGCAACGGCAAGCGCAAGTGGGTCAACGCGCAGGCCGTCTTCGCGATGCCCTACGACACCCCGGTGCCGGGCTACCGCAACAACACCTGCAACACCCTCCGTCTGTGGTCCGCCAAGGCCTCCAGTGGCTTCGACTTGCGCATCTTCAACACCGGCGCCTACATCGACGTAAGCCATCTTCCCCGCCCCCCTTTCTGTTATAACTTCTCTCCCTCTCAACGCTCACAGTGGTTTTATGCAGTTTCGTTGGGGGGCACAAAATCAGCATACTGCAGATTTAGTCTAAATCATCATCACACGTGCTTCGCCTGCTTTATCAGGCGGTCAGTCATTTGTGCACAAAACGAAGAAACAATTGCCTTTAATACTACAAATACGTACACACAGTAACGTTAGTCGGAGATTGGATACTGCAAATGACCTCTCACTGTTATAATTAATGAGTTCATTTGTCATGCAAGATCATTTGACCCATGGACCCAGAAGTTGTACTTAAGTTGGCCCACCCATGACACAATCCTCGGTTAATGCTGAGTGTAGCTCTGTTAAGTACCGGGATTTACTGCTTCAGGGCCCGGTCTGTGCGATTGTGACGATCCCTTGCCTGGCCTAACAGCCTCGATGTATCTGACACCGTCCAAACTACTACTGCTACTACTACAAGAACCCGGAGCCGAAAAGTGCACATGGGCCCAAAAGTACACACAGGCAACCTAGCAATGCCCCAGGAACTTCGATGACAGTTTGGGTTGATAAATACTTGCGTTTGGTTTCTGCCAAGTCATTTTCGATGCACTGGAAACCCCTCGATATGTTTATGGGTTTGAACCTTGTGTTCTTAACTCGGTAAATGGTTCTCTCAAGCCATGTCCTGTGTACCACTTCGGTAGTGCGGCCAACGCCCAAGACTGTCCCTCCACTGAAAACGTCGACGTTCAAGGCTGTTTTATTGCAAGCAGTCACAGTCTCGCCACCGTATTTCTCAATTTGCTTATGCAAGAGCAACGGGTAGATGTACTTCTGCTCCTCCCAGCCTCGCACAAGCACTTCTGCGTGTACTTTACTGAACCCAGCCTCCCCGATCAATAGCCCCCAGTCACACAAATGCGCCATGCGCTGACTCCGAATTTCCAGCTGCAGAAGTCAGCTGTTTTGCCTGTGGCGGGCGATTTGATTGGCCAGATAACCCTTATCACGAGATTGGCCAGGAGCATCACGTTCGCAGGCACCGTTAAACGACAAGCGTTGGTGCAGAAAAAAAAAACAAGCGCACAGCCTAATTTGTTTGCTTAGTGCTCTATCGTACACATTTGACGAGATCGCGTTCTTGTAAACAAACAAACCGGTGGCTAGTGCAGTCAGGGGCATTTAACGAACTCGAATATTCACCTGCTTGACTCTAGGGTTTTGTCAGCGTCAGATTTTCTCCCAAGCGTTCGATCGTTCTTCTTCCTACCCAACAAAGCACACATTGCTTCACGTCTGGTGTGTCCAAATTTCTCGTTTCAAGTGAAATTGTCAAATACTTGGCGTTGATGTCCTGCATGCTTGCCTACCAAACCGCTTTTGCAAAAGTGCACACGCGAGATGAGGTCGTAGGGTCAAATCACATGTTGATCGTTCCAAGTTGGTCACCGCCATCACCATCAGCAGTATCATCTCTGCTATAGGCTGTTTGTGGTCGCAACACTGCGGAGAACATTTCGCGGGTGCTCTACCCCAATGACAACTTCTTCGAGGGCAAGGAACTTCGGCTCAAGCAGGAGTACTTCTTGGTTGCCGCTACTATCCAGGTAGGTTGTAGTTGTTTTTTTTTCGTTGGAAACATTGCTGCTTCATTTCCGGTTTCGGTCAATCACTGTCTTTTCGATAAAGAAATTTGTGCAAAATGTTTTACATGTCTACTGTCAAGACCTTTAAAACGGCGTTTTTTTGTTGCCTGTCATGCGATAGGATATTCTCAGGAGGTACCGCATAACGGCGCACGGCATTAGGTCCCTGGATCATCTGGCAGACAAAGTCGCGATCCAACTGAACGACACCCACCCCTCTTTGGCCATCCCCGAGCTCATGCGCGTTCTGGTGGACGTCGAAGGCATGGAATGGAACAAGGTCCGTCACTCTCCCTCTCTTCTCCGTGTTTTCTGGGTTTGTTGTGAGGGTCTCACGATCGCCTTAGACCCGGGTTGGCAAATTAGATGTGACGCAACTATCCCGTGAAGCCACCTTCCCACACATTAGACCATTCTTGAGGTCTTGATGCTTTCATTGTTTACGGACAGAGCTTCTTAGATGGCACTGCTACATCTAACCATGACCCACAAACACGACCTGGGAACTAGGGTATCCCCTGACTCCCAAATCAATACATGTGTGTATGTCTAGTATGACCCTGACAGCAACCAGCTGGTAAAACCCTCAACGGGAGGGAGGAATGAGCCAATATGATTGGGTGGTAATGCTACACAGCCTCTTATTTGATGCACCTTCCTCCTCTCCACGGTTTCAGGCCTGGGAAATCAGCTGCGCCACATTCGCGTACACCAACCACACCATCTTGCCCGAGGCCCTGGAGCGTTGGCCGTGCTGCATGCTTCAGCACATCCTTCCACGCCACCTCGAGATCATCTACCGCATCAACCACGAATTCTTGCAGGTGAGTCCTCCCTTCTTCCCTTGGTCGTTGTCAGGAAAGCTAGGCTGTGGTGTTGGTATTGGTTGACTGCTTTTAGGCAGTCTATCCAATGCACGTTTGACGCAGTGTTCCAATTACTGGACAGGGTATTAGCCAAACAAATGTCACGGTCTGCAAGGTGCTCTGGCTAGCCGTATTCGCGTTTTGTGTGGCTACATTAAATCCAGACGAGGACGGCAGTAGTAGTCCTACTCTTTTCCTTTAATGTTGGACACCTCGATCGTCTTGTGCACTAGCTGTTCCATGTTTGTTTCTGTTGAACCGTTTAAGACTTCAATTTAGAGAGGAGTCGAGGTTGCCCGAGCAAATAAACCACCTTCGCACCCTTCAAATCAGCAAATGTTCTGATTCTCCAACTCCCTGTAAAAACACCTCAATGTGAAGGCTGCCATTGTGCACTTTGTTTTGCCTTTTTTGCGTAGTTGGTGCTTGCAAAGTGGCCCAACGATTTGGATCGTATGCGGAGGATGTCGATTGTAGAGGAGGACGGCGAAAAACGGGTCAACATGGCCTACCTCTGCATCATCGGCTCCCATGTTGTGAACGGTGTCTCCGCCGTCCACTCGGATATAATCAAGCGTGAAACGTAATTATAAAGTCTCGCCTTTTGATCTCTTACCTAATTCCACCTTCAAAATGTGCTCTCAGGTTCACAAACCTGTGAAATTTACTCAACCTCTGGCTTCTTTCCTAGGTCAGTTTGTCTAAAAATCAGAGTTAATTGATTGGTCCCCTTCATGGAAGGTAGCAGATGTTGTAATTTTGCCATGGCGATCGGTTAATCAACCTCGTTTGTTTTTGTTGTTGCGCAGGTTCCGCAATTTCTACGAGCTCTGGCCTGAGAAGTTCCAGAACAAGACCAATGGCATCACTCCGCGGCGTTGGCTTCTCCTCTGCAATCCATCCCTCTCTGACGAGATCATGGAAGCCCTCGGCGACGACAAGTGGATCACCAACTTCGAGCTCTTGAAAAATCTTCGTTCCCTATCCAACACCGATGGCTTCTTGCACAGTCTCATTCGTATAAAGCGTGATAACAAGGCCAAATTCGCCTCCTACATGGAACAGCATTACAACATCAAAATTAACCCCGCCACCATGTTCGACATTCAGGTGTGTGTTTCCGCGATCTGGTTTGTTGGTCAACAAAGGCAGAAATGGCACATTGCATTGCATTGCTACGTGACGTTATCGTTCCCACCTTTTTCCGCTTTCAGGTCAAGCGAATTCATGAGTACAAGCGTCAACTGCTGAATTGCTTCTACGTGATTTCGCAGTACAACAAGATCAAGGCGAATCCCAACGTGAAAATGATTCCGCGCACTGTGATGATCGGTGGCAAGGCTGCACCGGGCTACCACATGGCCAAGCTCATCATCAAGTTGATCAACAGCGTTGGCACTGTGATCAACAACGACCCGATCGTGCGTGGACGCCTCAAGGTAGGCCAGCATTGGCCGTGTCCTTACCTGTTTTGACACTGACCCCTCGAGGTCGACGCTGGCATTGCCATTTCATCCTACTAGTAATGTCAGTTTCCTTGTGCGTTGAAAAGACCTGGCTGAAGCCTCGTTTCTTTAGAGTTGCCTAGGAAGACTTGCTCATCCGTCAGTAGATTCCTTTCACGTAGAGAGAGTACTTTTGGCGTGATCGCATTCACAATTGGTGTTGGCGTTCTTAGAGATTGACACGTACGCCCTGATGTTCAATCTATTTTGGAGCTCTGCTTAGTTCTTGTGACTCCTAATTTGTTTCCAATGGGAGCTGGGGCAATAAGGCAGCGTATCATGGTCCGCGATAAAGCGGTTTTTGGTCTCAAATGCGACTCATTTTTCATGATACTACAGCAACACTTAGTTGGAAAAATGGTGTCGTTAATCATCGAATATCATGTTGGTAAATTCATCGAGCTGTTGCACAGTCATATGCAGTTCTCCTCCCTCTTGTTAATGTCCCTGTAACCATCATTCCACGAACTGTGAAATCTCTTGTGTTGCAAATGCAGACGACATGTCTCTCTTGGAATACCTCGATAAGTGCTTAACAGACTGAGCCGTGAATATACCAAATATTGCTTGCCACTCCACCCCCCGTTGTAGCTCATCTTCCTCGAAAACTACCGCGTTTCCCTAGCAGAGAAGATCTTCCCCGCCGCGGATCTTTCTCAGCAGATCTCAACCGCCGGCACTGAGGCCTCAGGAACTGGCAACATGAAGTTTATGGTACGCTGGTGTGATGTCGTGCTTGAATGCGTGTCTGTGACACCTGTTGGTTCCACGCTTTTTCACCGTCAAGCATGTCGGCGTCTTGACTAACTTTCACAAGCACTTTTCAATAAGAAACCCTATTTAAATGCCCTGAATGGACATTGGACAGTCTAATCCAGCTGGAGACAGGTGTGGGGATATTATGTGGGCAGGGAAGTCGTTGACAAACTCACAGATCTTGGCAATTTAAACAGGGTTAGTTAGGGAGTTAATTGGCATTCACCTGTTCTCCAACCTACCTGTACTCGACATCCTCGCAGTAGTGACCGCCAAAATCAGATTACCCAATCAAATTTGATGTCCTTTTACCACCGTTGTCTTTGTTCTTCCAGCTCAACGGTGCCCTGACACTTGGCACCATGGATGGCGCCAACATTGAGATGTGCGAGGAGTGTGGCCGTGAGAACATGTTCATCTTCGGCATGACTGTCGACCAAGTTGACGAGCTCAATCGTAAAGGGTAAAGTCAGTTGTTTTCTGGTCTTTCGTGTAATTTTTTTACGATTTTGTCGACAAATCAGACCATAAATTTCCCAATGATGATTCACCTAGTCGGCCCGGTGATACAAATCTCACTATCCAGTTTTTATGTTCTAATTCGGAAGGGTTTGGTGAAACAGCCACAGTGACTGTAGCTGTCTGAATCTCTCACACGTCGGGTTTACTTCTTTTGTGTAGCTACAACTCACAGGAATTCATCGAGGCATGCCCAGAGTTGAAACAGGTGCTGGAGCAAATCAACAATGGCTTCTTCAGCCCCGACCAGCCGGATCTCTTTAAGGACATCTACAAGACCATGATGTTCGGCGATCGATTCATGCTGTGTGCCGACTTCGCCGACTACATGCGTGTCCAGGCTGAAGTCGACAAGGCTTACGAGGTGTGTGTGCGCTGCTTCGTATCTTATTCTCCGCTTCCCCCCCCCCGCATCAGCTGGAATCACTGATTTTGCAAATTTGTTGGGTTTCAGGATGAAATGAGATGGGCGAAGATGGTGCTTGCGAACATCGCAGGCTCCTGGAAGTTCTCCTCCGACCGGACAATCCGCGAGTACGCGCGGGACATCTGGGGAGTGGAGCCGCGCGAGGAGAAGATGCCCGCTCCCTTCGAGAACCCCGATGCCAACGCGTTGCACACCAAGTAGTCGTCCACCGCCTCCCCCATGCCGTCTCTCTCTCTCTCCCTCATCATAGTTGCCCCGCTGTCGTGCAATCCTACGGCTCGACTCCGTGTTTTTTTTTAAAACATTACACACTTGCCAACTCATTATACCATTTTTTCGCCATTCGATTCCTCCTCCCTCGTCTTCGCTCTAGCAGAATTTTACTTCTCCATTCTGTTCTTTCTCACGTCTGTCTTCCCTCTTTCGCACATTTCCCAAGTACGCATATTTTCATAGCCAAATTGATGCTACATGTACCGCCGTGTGTTAGGCGACCTACCACAGATCCGTGGCACGCGTCGCACCTGTCGGGTTCGCTGTCTTAAATTGAGAAGATTACATAAATTAGACTTCTAATTTATCGAGATTCTCTTCACGAGGTGAGGCTTCTACCGCCCGCCACACGTCTTCGTTGCACCTATTAGTTGATTGGTTGTGCGTCTTTGGTCGGTGCGTGCGTGGAAGCTTTGCTGACGGGAAAATCAATACCTCAGCAGCGCGATTGTGTAACTGCACTGCAGGCTGCACCAACTGTGACCTTGCTAGGTGTTTTAATTCCAATTTGTCCAATTGCAAAACACGTTCCAGGCTAAAGGACCAACAGACTTGTGTCGGTGCCTGGACGGGGTTTGTTGATCGCGTTTTTATTTGGATTTCGTGGTTCTTCAGATCCGAAAAGGTTGTTTCACTTCACAGTCGCATTCGTTGTCTTAAGCGATAAACATACATACTGCTTTGTTGTCATGGAATGGAACTTGTAAGACATATCAACGGTAAATATTTTAAATGAAGTCGGTCGATGTCACCTTTCCTGCGTAGTAATTGGTGCAGATGGACCAATTGCTACAAAGAAAGACCTCGCCATTTATCAGAATTCATTCAGTCGGCTGAATATTTGACTTACTTCAACGATGTAGAATTTACCCTAGACGCTAGGACCAGACAGAAATCGGAATGGTCAGCTGTTTCAACCCCTGAAATCAAGAGGTACATGAACCTTTTCAAAAAAATGGTTCTGGACTCTTTGACCCACCTTTAAGAAGCTAGAATGACGGTGAGAGAGGGAAGCCACGGCTAATTCCCCTCCCCAAAATTCGTCATCACGAAATTCAGGTATAAAACAATATACTCCATTTACTAGCATCTTGCAATTGTGCACTCTGACAACGTGGTTCCGTCTAGCAGATTGTGTGAACAATTAAAAAAAAACTAGAGATAGCTTCCTACCAACTTTCTGCTTAACCGCGCAAGCCAACACGTCCTACCAAGTTGTGTTAATACGGCACCCGCATGTTCACGTTGACGCGGCGACAGAGGAACGAATTGAATCTTTCCACAAAACCTCGCTTTTCAATGAGTGAGCTCTAAAAAATTGTGATTATCCCGTCTCGATTTGGGTTTGGGGAGCTATTTCCAAATATTTGGTGATTGGAGAACGATGGTGCTCAATTTGAAACAACAAAATTCCAAGATAAATAGGATTTTGTTGATCTATACCACACTGTCCGTCAATTCCTACAACTGTCTCGCCACGTTTTACATGAGCTGCAAAAGCAACGTGCTTTCTACAAGAGGAGAATTGTCTGAAAGTTCCTTAATTTAATCACATTCCGGCATTCGAATTGTTCAGCATCGGGCAAAACGGCTTAAAAATGTAACCGAGCAGGTACGTGGGAAATAAAGTGGGTACTAGTGGATGAGTTCCTCAATTTTTTGCTATTTCCCTTGAGCTACGTGTGATCAAACAACAATGTCATGGTATAAAAAAACAGATTTGCAAATTTTGCTTGGATTTCAAGGTTGAGTTGGATGAGTAGTTCACACGTACTCCTCGCCACTTACTGTTTGGTTACGTAGAAGATTCTGGAAAAATGGGTTCCCCCACCAGATACACGGCACTTCTTTTGTTGGATGAAGCAATCCACGCTCCGTATACTTTCTGACTTTCTTCAAACCTACTCTTTCGCCTCCTTTTGTGTTATAATGTCATATACAGTCCCCGCATTTCATCTCCTATTAAGACTTCATTCAAGAATGTTTTGTGTAGATGATGGACAAAGTATCTGACCCATTAACCGAATTTCGAAGTGCATCCAAGTAGCTGCAAATAGCAAAATGCAGTCGGATTGTCAACGTTTGGTCTGTCAGCAGTCTCTTTATTCTTAATCAGTGGATTATCGTTGTGCAGTAGCTCACGGATAAATTCACTAGCAATGCCGGTATGTCACGCGCGTTTCTATTGAAGTCGCCGTGTCAAAATGGATTGAAACACTAACGAGATCTATTTTCGATTCTCTGCTGGGGGTTCTGCATTCCCCAAGACGGCTCATTGTGGATCAAGATTTCGGCATTGTTTGCACAAATCCCCTAAACACGTCACTTCAGTGAATGAATCACCCGCATTCAGATCCCTTGTCTTACATCAGCGTGGGAAGGTGAGGATCTAGCGTCAGACAAGGGATCTGTGGTACCGGGTGTCTGTTAAGGTCAAAAACGTAGCACATTCCTTTTAAACCCCTAGAACAGGGCAAACGTTCAGCGTTAAAATGTCCATTTTTAAATTTTTCGCTACAACTCCATCACTGGTTCTACTTTTAATCTCATGGCAAGAATGCAAGGTTGCATTCTGGCTAATAACCCTCCACACGGGTTAATTTAAAGTTAACAACCGTTTATGGTTATGTTGACTGATGACGCATTTAAACAACACTTTGCTAGTAGCATCAGTATAAAAGAATCGTGAGCACAGTCGTAAGTGCATATCTCACTCAGTCTAAATCGAAGTCCTTCCAGTGTATGCTTAGATCATGCTTTATTTGGTGTGTATTTTTCGCAGAAAAACCTATTGTTTTCGAAATGATTCAAAGTACTGGTACCAAGCCTCATTCTAGTGTCTTGGTTGAAGGTACAACAGCAATTTATGGAAGGTACTCGGCTACGAAGCGAGTTGTTTGCCAAAGCAAGTGGGAATTGTTTGCATGAAGCGATGTCTATTGCGTGCTATGCAACCTTGCGTATCGTTGCAGGACACAGAACGCACGCTGAGTCGTGCAATCTGTACAAGCGGTGGGTCAGATACATGCAGTAATGAGAGCACGTCACATCGAGGCTGCAATGAAACATGAGGTCAACTTGTCAGTGGAGGTGTGTTCGGCTCTCAGGACAACTTGGTGGTTAGTCAGGTGTGATACAACAAATCATGGAATTACAGATTAAGGACGCATGCATGTGGGATCGGATAAACGCTGTCGAAGAAAACCATGGGGTAGACACGTTAAGCGATTGATAAGACTTTGGTTCTTAAAGCTACTGATTTATTCTTACTAAATCAGGGTCCATTTGACGTTCTCTGACAAGGAGGGAAGCATTACATTTTGAAACGGTTCACCAAAGTGTGGATTTGAAAGGTCCACAGTGAAATACAACATGTTGTGGGCTGTTCGAAGCACGATGCGAACTTGGCACGACTTAAGCGAAGTTGCGGCAGTCTAATCATCCCACTCTGAGGTTCGTGCACCGCCCAGAGGTGACTCATCTGCTTCTAGTACCGTTTGATTCGCTCCCTACATTTCCCAGCTGTTTGAGACGGCATTGAATAGTTGGTGTTTGATCAAATCAGAGACGTCAATTTTGCGCCGGAACCTGGGCAAGTCACAACTCGTGACTGATGTTCATCACGACAAAAATGTACTATTTCACAATTTTTTTAGTTGGTGTTTTGCAAGTTTATTTATGGGAAAGCAAACTTTTGTGACCTATGCACTAACTACACCGTGCCAGGCAGCTTCTGGCAAAATTTAATCCACATTTCTTGTGTGAACGCCGACAACTTGTAAGTCCATGTGAGTTTTTACTTCACGACATTTGGTGCATTTCACCAATCGTGTTCTGTGTCCAGTAGGAAGTCGTTTTTTTCCTCGAATCACATCGCACCGTTCGTTAGCACCTTCCGAACAAAAGTGCTACACATTGATGGGCATTAGAGGTATCCGAAAATAGGTGTAGTGGTAATTTATTTTTATGAGACTTATACTTTCGTGCCATTTTTCTACTTGCCAAACTGTTTTCGTACACTTCGCAGTTCAAATGATCCGCTGCATTTTAGCCAATCAGATACAAGATCGAGAATAATGGGATACCACACGCCTAATTACCAAGCAGATTTACGATCATGGACCAATCGGTGGTAAAATTCCTTTCAACGGACTATTTCTATAAGATATCATAATCCTGCACACGATCTGATTGGATGGTTCAAAAAACCGTCTAACAGGCATTGCCTCTGGCTTCTACGTTCATTTTGGGGCATTTGCGGATATCAAAAATACCGGTCGGACCGATGTAGGGCATGAAACTCCATCATGACACCATGAATTGTAAGAAAGTTGCATATGCTCGTACAAATGAGTTGTCCTCAAGGCTTTAAACGATTTCGATCTAGAGCTTGATCCAAGATAATTATTGAAAAAAGGACCAAAAGGGTGCGGGTACATTCGCAACACCGATGCCGTTTATTACCGCTCCTCCGAGTCAGTGGATGCCATTTACAGTGAGTAAATTTTGCATCGATGCTACTCCTGGTAGTTTAAAGGAATCGCTGTATAGAACCAGAATTCTTTGCTGTTCCAATATCATTGCATGAACAATGACCTTGGCTCAGTCACACAAGCCGAAATCACAGAAATGTCAGACATGCGCTGACCGCATGGGTTTGGTTCTGGGCGATCAAGTCAACCGGCGGAAGTTGAATTGGATCCATTTGAAAGGACCATTGTGGTACTAGCTTGCACAGACCTAGATTTATCTCAGAAAAGTTAACAGACTGTGAGATTTGTTTAGGACAGTGAAGTGTGTTCAACCCGCACTTCCGCAAGTTTTATTTACTTTATGTAAACACAAGCACCGGGTGGTGTTGTGACAGCCCACTTTAAGACGCTGTTACGGCTAAACCGGTGCGTGAATGCGTGGCTCCTAGTGCAATC